CCACCTCTCCAGGAAGCTTTCTCAATTCAAATGTCTGGATCTGCAGTGAGTTTGTATATATAAGACTCAAACTCACTGCGGATCCAGACATTTGAATTGAGAAAGCTTCCTGGAGAGGTGGCGAAACGCCTTCAAATCTTGGAAACCAAGTCCAGTGGATATATATATATTTTTTTTTTGCGGAATCTTTTCCAAGCATCTGACAAAAATCCCTGATGGGTTCATAGTCATCTGGTGACATTGTGATTTAAAGCTATGTGTTATCTGCGTAGTTACAGTATGGTAACTGATCTTTTTGTTTGCTATAATCTAAGGTGGACTATGTAGATGTTGAATAAGAGTGGCCCCAGAATGGAGCCTTGAGGAATCCCGTATGTGATTTTTCTGTTCTCTGATTTAAAGGTACCTACTTTCAATTAAAGCTGATTACGGTATAAGGAGATCATTCTGGCCTAAAGTTGTTTCCCCACAAAGAATTATTGAACTAATCCTTATAATTGAAGAAGTCATAAACCTGAGTATTATCAGCCAACATTATAATTGACAGGAGCAGAATGAGGAAGTATTGTGTTACTCTAGCTGTGCTTCAGCAAAGAACTCTGCAAACTCATTTCAGGCCTTTTTAGAAAGGAGCCATGGAGGGGTTTGTTAACCTCTCGACCATGGTAAATAAGGCGTGAGCATTGTTAATGTATATAATAAATTGAACTTACACAAGGGTAAGCTTCTAAACAAGAACATGAAGCAATTATGCATTTAGCTGTATATCTGTAAAAGACAAATTTAAGATGTGTTTAATTTGATAATATAGAGCACAGTGCTTCACATGTCCTACACATGTTCCAAAGAGCATTGGAAAAATGAAGCATGGTTGTGATTTGACTATTAGGTTTTGTTTATAGTCACTTCTGTGGGTCTCCAAAAAGTAACTTGCCTGCTTTCTTAAGCTTTTCCAAAGCGCTTTGCCCCATATTTAATCATTCACGCAGTGATGGATTACTAAGCTAGATTTTAGCCACATCGGCCCTAGGGCACAACTGACAGCGTGAGGCTGCACTAATTACAGTAGGTGTCACTAGGTCCTCTTTAACCTCACATTAGATCAGCAAACCTTAAAGCTCTGTAAATATTTTCAGCTGTGGTTTAGTTCTCTTGACCATCTAATTTCCCACCAACCCTAATCCTTTGTCTTTCTTTGAGAACTTACAAACTCATAAAAACTCCTGACAGCAGCTCTTTTGCTTTGCAATGCATTTTATAACAAAGCTGATTTATATCTTTCTTGAGCTACTCTAGAACTAAATTATGCATTTTCAAACAAACGTGCAGCATAGTGCATAAACAATCAGCTCAAGATCATTTGTTAGCTCAGCATATCCTGACTAATCTTAAGAGAGCCTGTGGCAAACTAATACTCAAAACCCAAACTCAAAACTCAAACGTTTTTAAGATTATGCTTTACATCTTCAACAATGTTATAATTGTACCTGTTTGTATTTGTTATTTCAGTGAGATCTTCTCCTACCTGTCAAATGAAGCATCATCATCAGGAGTAAAAGCATTTCAATCCTTCTGCATGAAAGCATATTGCTTCTGTCTGCCTTCTCTTGTTGCCCTGATCATTTATGTCTCTCTCTCTCTCTCTCTCTCTCTCTCTCTCTCAAATGTTTAAAAATGCAAACCTGTTTGCACTATATGTGGTTTACTACCTCACTCTGAATTTATTCTGTTTTATTTGTCATGGCTGTTGCTAAAGGTGAGAATATATATTAAATATAAATATATTGTGGTATATCAATTTTCATACAAGGCATGTGATGGGGGGGGGAAACCCAAAGTGGTAACTGTATGAAAATCTATTTTAGAGAATATGTGAACACTGAAACAATGGCTGACCAAGTATCGGCCAAAGTATGATGTCACATGAAACATCATCGTTTTCTGGTTGGGGGTTTTGAAGTGTTAGTTTCTATTTGCATTTGCACTCATGTGAATATGTGAACACAGTTGATTTAGCTCTGCAGCACTGATATAAACTTTTAAAGCATGGATTTATTTTGTGTTTTGTTGTTTAAAATGTTTGCTTGAATTAGTTTATTTTGCTTTTAATTTATTTAAACAGCCTGTTTGATAGATGGCTGATTTGATAGTAGTTTTTGCAGGAGGTGAGAAAGGTGTTAGTTTCAGAAAGCTGTGTCATTTGTTCTGACGTAGGACAGCTGCAACAAAGGCTGTCTTGTTTTCTTCTCCATTTTGAAGAAACCCTTGAGCATTAACATAACAGAGAGAAGCAAATCAGTGTATTAAACTCTTTGGATAAAATACATTTTATCAAATTGTATCATGAATCTTAAAATGTGTTTTTGGTGCAGAGAGGGTAGATAGAGGCTGATTTATAGTTTTGAGTTGGCCTGAGTCTGATTAAGGTGATTAGCTGAAGCCCCTCACCCGACAAACAGCCCTATAGCTGTAGATTCAGTGGTGGCTTCTAAGCTGTCATCTTAGAAGAGAAGAAGAATTAAATAAATAAAACCATTTTTATCATCATTTTTTTATTTTTGTGGTGCCTTCAATAAATAGCCAAGTGGAAAACAGCAGATATTCACT